CCCCCCCCGCACTCCCCCCTCAAAGAGACAGCTGGGCATGGAGCAAACTGCCAGCAATAAAACAGTGATTGTGCCAGCCCAGCGCCTGACACCAGCCTTCCCTCCGGCAGTCAAGCTGGGGCTCACAGCACTATATACAGCCCTGTATGCTCTACTCTTTCTCTCAGTCTATGCCCAGCTGTGGCTGGTGCTACTCTACCGGCACAAGAAGCTCAGCTATCAGACCGTTTTCCTCTTCCTCTGCCTGCTCTGGGCCACCCTCCGTACCACACTCTTCTCCTTCTACTTCAAGAACACTCTCAAGGCCAACCAGCTGGGCCCTTTCCTCTACTGGCTGCTCTACTGCTGCCCCGTCTGCCTCCAGTTCTTCACTTTGACACTCATGAACCTCTACTTTGCCCAGGTAAATCAGTTTTGGGGGGAGGGGAACTGCACAGCTCAGCTGTGTGAGGAAAAGCCACCAACTTGGGTTTCTGCACATGTGGTGTCACTTTTCCTTGCTTGGCGCTTCCCAGAGCTGGGGATGGAACTCAGGAATCCTGGCTCCCAGCCCTTTCTCTAATCCCTAATCCCCACTACTCATCTTCCAAATCTGGACACAGAACCGAAAAGTCCTGACTCCCAGCTCCCTGCTCTAACCCACTAGACTCAATTCCTCTCTCAGAGTTGAGGACAGAACTCTCTTTATATGCTGCTTGCATAAATATTTGTGGAGGTGCCAACACCCCAATGATGGGGTCATAAGAGTATCTAGACCCCAGAGGGTTTTGTCCTCCTATGCTGAGGGTTTTGTCTGAGCCCTATGGAGCGGACTTCAGCATGGGGCAGAAGATCAGCTGGGGTCGCATTTGTGGGTGTGAGGAGTGGAATGGAGGGAGGGGACTATCTGACTCGGGTTGAGGACTGAGAAACAGGGCCTTTTTCCTCTTGCAGCAGTCTGTCCTTGGGGCTTGCTGAGGCGGGTGGGGAATGAAATCCTGTAATGAAATCCTGGCCTTAGTGATGAGTCTTGTGGGGGGCTGAAGAAGGAGAGGGGCTGCACAGGGAGGGTTGCGCTTGCTGCTGGGGAGAAGTGTTCTGTTTGCTGATGATCTGTAACTCATCTCCCTTGGATTCTGCCTTCTTGGCCACACTGCAAGGGGCATGCATTAGTGGAGGGTGCCCATTAGGCTGTGACCCTAACTCTGTCCCCCTTCCCTAGGTGGTGTTCAAGGCTAAAGCTAAGTACCACCCGAACATGACCAAAGGCCTGTGAGTATCCCTCCCATACCATATCCATGTGGTCACTTACTGGCCCTCCACGCCCCAAGCTGGGAATAGAACTCAGGGATCCTGACGTCCCCATCCCACTGGAACCCACTACACTCCACACCCTTTCCAGACTCAGGGATAAAACCCAGAAGTCACTCAGCTGAATTGGGGCCCTCTCACCCTGGCTCTGTCCCCTACATTCCCTGGTGCTGGTGGCTTTGGCCTAATGAGCATAGAGGCTCTGTGCCCACCCCTCTTCCCTGGGCAGGAAGGCTGGAGGGAGAAGTGGGACAGGGCTGGCTCTCTGAGTGGGCATCTTCCTCTCCAATAGCATCCTTTGAACCCAGCAGCAAAGCTTGATTGAGATTGAGCTGGGGCAAAGGGAGAGAAGCTGGAGAGATGAGGGAGGGGCAGGGATGAGAACCTGTGGTGGGGAGCAGAGCTGGAGAGAGTAGGAGGGGCAGGGAACAGTAAGGGAGCTGCCCTGAGTGGGGAAGGGGGAACTGGAGGGGTTGGTGAGGACAGGGCAGGGAAGCTGGCAGGGATGGAAGGGACCTGTGGGGGCAGATCTCTCACCCCCAGGACAGGAGGGGAGCAGTATATCTCCAGGCTCCCTCCCCAGTCTCAGTCTCTCCTGCAGGCTGGCTGTGCGTGGGGCTTGCCTGGGCACCAGCCTGCTCTTCCTGACCGTGAACGTGGCCTGTGCCTTCGTGGTACGGATGGGGCAGGCTGAGCCCTGGGCCGTGGTGCTAACCCGAGTCCTCATCAACGATTCGCTCTTTGTGCTGGGGGCTGTCACTCTGGCGCTCTGCCTCTGCCTTGTGGCTCGTGGCTCACCAAGCACCAGCCTTTACCTGCAGGCCAAGGTGAGATACATCCTTCTCCTCTAGAGGACACTAGCTCCAATCCAGGCCCAGAGCCAGGGCACTGGCTGGCTGAGGGGTGTTGGGGGTGGGATATGGGGCCCTTCATTTCTAGGGGGCATTGGCTCCCACCTGACCCCAGGGTGGGGAGACTGGCTAGTTTGGGGTGTGTGGGGAATGGGTCATGGAGCTTTCCCCTCTAGGGGTGCCATCTAGCAACTGGCCAGAGACCATGCTACCTGGTGGGGTCAGGGGATATGGGGCTGATGGGAGTCCTGTGGGTATGGGTTGTGGAGGTCAGGTCTCTGAAATGGTGTCTGCATCTGTCTGTCTCCCTGCCTCCCCCAGGGCACCACCGTGTGCCAGACAGCAGCCATTGGTGGCACCATGGTGCTGCTGCATGCCAGCCGTGCGTGCTATAACCTAGTGGCCCTGGCGTTGAGCTCCCACACCCGGCTGGACTCCTTCGACTACGACTGGTACAATGTCTCAGACCAGGTCAGTGTGGCGGGGCAGGACTTCTACGGAGGGGGGTGGCACCAATGGAGAGGCAGATGAGGGGGGCCTGCAAGGTATTGCAGGGCAGAGATTGTGGAGCTGAGGGAGTATGTGGCTCCAAAGGTCTGGGAGGGATGGTGCATGTGGTAGTTGGGAAGAGGCTCTAGAGCAGTGGTACTCAACCTTTTTTCATTTGCGACCCCCAGAGGGGGTTGAGCAAAAAAAAAAAAAAAAAAAAAAAAACCAAAAAAATTTTTTTTCCCCCCCTTTAATTTAAAGCGCTGGTCTGCTCCCCTACCACTCCTCCTACCCCCGCTGCATGTATGTCGGGTGCTGAGCCAGGAAAACAAAACGGGTTGCGCATCGCTGCTGTAGGGCATAGTGAAGGGATGTGTGTGGTGGGGGGGATCATGGGAGTCAGGGGCACAGCCTCTCCAGGGTGACTGGTGTCTTTAGCTCTCCCCTTTTGGGGGAGTGGGCATAATCACTCCCTCACTATTTGCTCTCTGCTCTTGAGGGGCAGCATCTCAGCCCTTCTGCAGAACCCTGCTTTGGCTGGTGGCCAGACCCCCAAAGGAATCTGAGCTGTCTCCCCTTCCCTCCTCCAGGCGGATCTGATCACTGACCTGGGGGACCAAGGATATCTGGTCTTTGGCCTCATCCTCTTTGTGTGGGAGCTGCTGCCAACTGCCCTGCTGGTGGGCTTCTTCCGGGTCCACCGCCCTCCCCAGGACCTGGTGAGTGGGGCAGTGGGAGCCCACGGTTGGGGGAGTGGAGCAGGGTCTACTGGGTTAATTTTGAAGGAATAACGACACAGAATCAAAGGCATTGTCATGACTCTTGCACTGTCCGGCTCTAGCCAGAGTTTAACTGGAGCTTTGAGTGGAGACCATGGTCTGCTCAGCCCCATGGCAACCTCCCATTAGATGTCTTCTGAATCTTGGGTACCAGGTACAGTTAAGTAGGTGAATCTGTGAAATCATTTGAAATAAGTAGAGGCCAGATACATTCAGACAGGCTGAGCTGGTGTCGTTACTAAGGTTCAGCCCTGGTCCCTAGAGAACAAAACAAGACAAATGCACAACAGGAAATTAAAACTCCTGGCCAAGTAAGAAGTGCAGCCTCCATCTGTGGGGCCAGCCCTCCACTGAGGCCTCCCTGCTGGAGAAACACAAGTTGGGCACAGGAGTATGGCAGTGTTGCAAAATAGGCCGTCTGAGCTGGCTAAGCCAGCCACTTACTAGACAGGAGGCATAAGAGGAAAGACAAGAAATAAGGGAGTGGGGAAGGAGGCATGGGGTGGGGGTGACAGTCTCTCCCAACTGGTGTTTGGGTTTAATAAAGCTAGTGGCAATCTGGGCCTTTCTTTGGCCCAGTCTGATGAGAGCATCTTCTAGGGTCAGCACAGCAAAGGCCCAACAATGTCATGGTACATTCCAAGGTCCCATGGGATGGGGGGCAGGCAGGCAGTCTCTTTTCCTGGTCTCCTGTCTCTGTCCCAGGATGTTGCCAACCTGAGTCCCCCCAGCCCTTATCTTCGAAGGGCTCCTGAATAGGGTGAAGGGCAGGACAGCCCAGCCCCTCAGTATTTTGTCCATCAGTTAGGCCTGATTTCCAACATGCCTATTTTGGTCTCTTGATTTTTGGGCTCACACAACTCTTGTTTAGCAGCCCTTGTGTTAGCTCCATAGGCCTCTGGCTCCCTTTTCTCCTTTCCTGTCAGCGTTTGCTGCCCCAGCAATTGTGTTTTCTGAGCTTGTGCCCCAACTCACAGTCAGAGGGAGTTGCGGACTCATTATGCCGATGGGGAGCGGCCTGCTGAGATGTCAGTAATTGGCTTCTAAGGTTGGGAAGGTCTCCCCTACAGTGTGCCTCAGAGCAGTGAGGATCCCCCAACTCCCTTCCCTTGGTACAGATGGGCTGGTGCAAAATGGGGGATACTGCTCCCCATTTGGCAGGATTGTTACATCAGGCGGGGGGCAGATCTGATAGGAGGGGATCCCCCACAAGGTATCACAGGGGGGGAATCTACACCTCCCCTCACAGAACAGCCCTTGTCCTGTGGGTCAGTCTGGTGGGTTGCAGCCACTTAAGAGAAAGAGGGGCAGTGAAGTGAAAGCCCCCCCCCCCCCAAGCAATAGCCTCTCTCTTATCCCCCTGCAGAGTGCTGGCCACATCATCAATGGTCAGCTTGGGGGCTCCCGGTCCTACTTCTTTGACCATCCTGGGCAGTATGAGAACGACGGGCCCCCCCGGAGGAAGGGCAGCAGGTAATCCCCCCCTTGACCTTCCAGACCCCGGGCAGTACTAGAGCGAGCCCCTCCCCAGGGAGAGCAGCAGGTAATACTCCCATCAGGGAAGACTAATGGGTGGGAAGGGAGTTCTCAGGATCCTCCCCACTCCATTGGAGTTTAAGGCTCCTGGGGGAGAACTGTCCCTCCTGCGATCTTGCTGCTGGGGCGCTGGAGCATTGCACGCTGGAAGCTAAGACCCCTGGATTTCTGTCTGCTTGGGGTTGGGTGGGGCAGATGGGGGAACCCTGCTCTGGAGAGTGGGATGGGGGTTGGTGTGCTGGGGCTGGGTCCCCCACTCCCTGTAACTCCTCTCTCTGCCTTGCAGCCTGGCAGGCCGACTGGGCAGCAGCAGCTGGTATGGAGCCATTGGCCGGACTGGGAGGGATCCAGACTGGCTGGGGGGGCAGCCCCCCACTACCCCACTGCTCTTCTCCCAGGTCACTGTGCAGGCCAGCCACCATCACAGCCTCTACTCCACCCCGCAGACCTAGGTGCGCACGCCCCCGTGCGTCACAGGAGGACGCTGGTGAAATGGGGGCATGAGGACACGAGGGTGCCAAGGGCGGGGGGATGAGTTCTGAGTGCGGGAAGTGGATGGGACCCAACTCTGTGCCCCTCCATCTGAACACCCTCCAAACACACAGTGCCCCCCTCCCCCATTATATGGGAATAGCTCTGTCTTCTGAGGGTCCAGGCCAGTTTGGGCAGGAATCCCAGTGTTGACCTGTGGGTCCAAGGAAGAATGGACTGTCTCTTCCCCTTGCCACTGGATGTGCTGGAGCATTGCATGCTGGGAGTTCCCCCTCTGGATTCATGCCTGCTGTAGAACCATCCCGGTGGGGGTTGCACGCTCAGATGCCAGTTGGTCCCCTCCGACGCACGCCAGCTCCTGGCTCCTCCCCGAGTCTCCCCAGCGCTACCCTCCCACCCTAAGGCTTTGGTGCTGTCTTGTCACTCTGTCCCAGCCTCAATAAAAGGTTTGTGTTTGTGGCATAGCCTGTGTGTGTGGCTTTTGTGGATGTGGGGAGCCAGGACTTGTGGGTTTTATGCTAGCTGTGGGTGGGAGTAGGGTGGGACTGGGAGCCAGGACTCCTGGGTTCTGTTCCCAGCTCTGCTACAGACTGCAAGAGCTGCAGCAGGTAGTATCGGCACAAGCAGTGTGCGTGAATGGGCTCTCTCTGCTCTCACTCCTTGGACTTTAACCTATCATCCTGATGGGGTTAATCAGCAACCTGCCCCCCCTCCCCCCCCCCCCCGTGGGGAAGAGAACCGTGCCTCTGCAACCCTTGCCCCAGGGTGCACAGAGCTGGAGCTGCCTGTCGGTCTGGGAGGGACATTGCTCCCAGAGATGCCCTGTATTTATTCCATCTCAACCCTCTTTATATTGCCTGTCTTAAGCCCTTCTGCCCCTCCCTTTTCAGACGTGGCGCTGTTCCTCCCCCCACGCAGGTGCTGTTACTCTGCCTGCCCCCACTAATCCCTCCATAAGCTGATCCACCCACGCACGCTCCCTAAGAGCCAGCTCAGCCAGGTGCACAGGTTAGGGGGTCACTGAGGACAAGCTCTTGCCCCAGTTTCTTGGATACTGAGGCAGGCCCTGCCCCGGATGCCTGGCTTGTCTGTCTGAAACTGGCCCCTTTCTCCACATTTACCCCACCGTTTTGCAACTCCTAGATCAAGGCAGTTGAAGAAATTGCAATGGGGGCTGGAAGCCTGGACTCTTCTTCATCACAGGGGTACCTGGCCCTAATGACTCTGAAAGGCTGCTTGGCCCCAAGCCCTCTGGCCTTAGTAGAACTCCGCCTCCTGGGCCTTGCAGCGTCTATAAAACCAGCTCTGTAGAACTGCTCTGGACTGGCCAGCAGGGAGGCTGACAAGGCCTAGCTGCTTCCTAGTATAGGTGGGGAGCGTGCTCTGCTGGGTTCAAGTGGGGGCCCTGGGAGGCAGGACGCCTGGGTTCCATTCTCCGCTTTTGGATGGGGTGGGGCAACAGTCGAGTCATGTGATAACGGCCCAAGAGGGAAGGACAGGGTGGGGAGGGAGACTGGAATGGAATCACCCATATGACAATAGCACTTGCTGTGCCCCAGCCCTCTGCCCCCCACGCAACCCTCTGTGCAGCCCAGCCCCTCCCTGCCACAGCCCAGCACTCCCCACTGAACCCCCAACCCACCCCTGTGGCCCAGTGGCCTTCACCCTGCCCCTGGTAGCCCAGCAACCCCCACTGGGCAACTGCTACGCTCCTTGTGGCCCAGTGCCCCCCCCTCCGTGCCCTGTCCCACTCCTTGGGGCTCAACTTGCTGCGGCCTAGGGCCTTTCATCCTTCTTCCTGCCGCTCCCG